CATAATTTTTTAATTTATTTCTCATTAATTTACCAAAAAACGAAAAACAATTTTTGGTCTTTTTTGTAATCAAGAACTGACTACGCAATTTAATTATTTTTAATCAATTATTTCAATTTAATAGAAGGCGGCATGACGATGACTCAGCTAAATCCTTCGTTTCAATTAGTATATTAAACAAAAGTGACTTTTTTTCAAATAAAAATCAATTTTGTTTTATCCCGTATTTATTTTCGAAATTTGATTCTCGATAAATGGTAGAATACTTTAATGTTGTAAAAAGTCCTGTGGTAGGCTATGTGTTACTCTCTAAATTTGAATTAGTAAAAATCTTTACTAATTTGAATTAGTGACTGACTTTTTGCTTTTAAATTAGTAAACTTTACTAATAAATAGTAACTTCTACTAATTTATTAGTGAAATTTACTAATTTAAAAGCAAAAAGTCAGTCACTAATTATAATTAGTAAAGATTTTTACTAATTCAAATTTAGAGAGTAACTTGAATTATCCGAATATAAGTTAAAAAAAATTACATTATTTTTTTACATTGATGCTGAGTTAATGACATTTTTCAACTGTTTACCTAAAATAAAGATTTTGTGACGATGTATATTCGAATTGTAATTAGTCCTATACATCTCAACGATGTCTAATTTTTCAAATGTCCTAGAGATATCCCATAATATCCTACAAAGTGATGGTTTCGATATCATGTGGATAACCTAGAATATTATGTGGACGTTTTTAGGATATCATGCATTTGTGTAGAATATACTGAATATATTCTTATGTTGGGGAAAGCTTTACCGGCTTAAGAAAAAATATAAGAAAACTTCATGAGACAACAAATTGACAAAGTGTTTGCAGAAGAAATAGAAATGATTTTTTTATTTAAATATATATGCATCAAAAACTTTGTTTTACTAACAACAAAAAAGAGCCTAAAATACCGCAATATCATATATAAGTTTTATACGAAACATTTTTGTGGAGCCCTGTCTATCTTAGGGCTGATTCTATTTCAATTCATGTAGAGCGAATAGGTTAAAAATTCTAAATCAAGGTAAAGGTAATTTTTCTTGTTCTTTAGGACAAATAAAGAGACACGTATTTTTTTATTCAGCGAAAAAAAATTTTTAGCTGAGTTATGAGTGTTTGAAAATTTTAGGACATTTTAGAGCTAAACAGCTGACAAATTATTTTCAAATCTTTCTAGTTTTTGCAAACATAAATATTTTTCCATTTTTTTTCTTGATTTTAGTAATGTTCTTGATACTTTTTCTTTGCAAACTTGAAAAATTTGGAAAATTAACCAAATAGCGGCCATTTTCCGAAAAATAAAAAAAGTCAATTTTCTCAAAAACATCATTTTTAATTTTTCTTAAAATTTTTGTGTGATTTCTAGATGAAAAAAGGAATTAATTTTAAAAGGTTTCATGTTTGCTAAAACTGTTTGGAAGTCGCAATAATTTTTTTCAGAAAATAACAAATCTCATTATTTTCTCTCTAAATCTTAATCAGTGAAATTCGACTGAAAAGGAGTGAAATTTGACTGAGAATCAGTGACTCTATTCTCGCGATTTGAATCAGTGGAATTTCACTGAAAATCAGTTAAAAATAACTGAAATTTCAGGTATTTTTAACTGATTCGCCAATTAATAAACTACTGAAAATTTCTGTCACGCATATTGAAAATTTCAGTTATTCTTCAATTGGCCAATCAGTGAAAAATGACAGAAATTTCAATCATTTTTAACTGATCTTCAGTGAAATTTCACTGATTCAAATCGCGAGAATAGACAATAGAGTCAGTCATTCTCAGTCAAATTTCACTGATTCAGTTTTCGAGAGTTGATACGAGTATAAATGTATCGGCATATATATATTTTTATTGCATGTTTATGTTTTTCGATGATTAGTAGTGTGTTTTTGGTACTTTTTATTTGCAAACTTGAAAATTTTGAAAATTAACAAAATGGCGACCGTTAAATTTTTTTGGTCGCCATTTTGAATTATAAAATTTTAACTAAATATTCTAACTCAGCGACTACAAAAACCTCCAAATGAATATTTTTATTCAATTATTTTTAGTATTTTTAGTTTTCGATTTTTTGAAAAATGGCCGCCATTTTGTTAATTTTCAAAATTTTCAAGTTTGCAAATAAAAAGTACCAAAAACACTACTAATCATCGAAAAACATAAACATGCAAAATATATATATATGCCGATACATTACTCAAAATAATGAGATTGGTTATTTTCTGAAAAAAAATTATTGCGACTTCCAAACAGTTTTAGCGGACATGAAACCTTTTAAAATTAATTCTTTTTTTCATCTATAGTAATCACACAAAAATTTTAAGAAAAATAAAAAATGATGTTTTTGAGAAAATTGACTTTTTTGATTTTTCGGAAAATGGCCACCATTTTGTTAATTTTCAAAATTTTTCAAAGTTTCAAGTTTGCAAAGAAAAAGTATCAAAAACACTACTAAAATCAAGAAAAAAAATTGAAAAATATTTATTTTTGCAAAAACTAGAAAGATTTGAAAATAATTTGTCAGCTGTTTAGCTATAAAATCACGATATGTCTTAAAATTTTTAAACACTCTATACTCAGCTAAAACAAATTTTTTCGATAAATAAAAAAATACGTGTCTCTTTATTTGTCCTAAAGAACAAGAAAAATTACCTTTAACTTGATTTAGAATTTTTAACCTATTCGCCCTGCATGAATTGAGATAGAATCAGCCTTACCCCCATATATTTTGGTGCGTTGAACTCGAATATAAGGTCATTCTCACTTCGTCGCATTACAACAGAATTTTTAGTTAATCTCAAAAAATATGTTCGATTTTATAAACATTTTTTTAAAGAAAGATTTAGATGGACTAGAAATATTTCAAATCATTGTATTAAAAGTAACATGGAAGAAAATAATAAAAATCATAATCTTAGTTTTTCGATTTCTTAAAAAAAAATTACACATATTCTCCAATAAATACTTTGAAATCGCGCTTATCCACCTGAAATTCTTATTGAAGGTGACATCTTCTCTTTTGATGTCTATACCAATCAGAGTTTTTGATATTACCAGTGTAAAAAACCTAGGGGTAAAAACCAGCATGCCTTTTGAGAGCAGACAATTAGAGCTCGTATCCGCCGGAGGGCGATTTGAATTTTATATATATAGGATGTAACATGTCAACTAAGACAAGGCCGTCTCTAAAAATCTATTGATCCCATTTTAATTGCTTAAAATTTTCGTATTCCTGTTCTTTATGAAATACAAAGTGGTATTTTTAAAAATTCGATATGGCATTTTATATGAATTATGAACATCTGTTAGGATGTAAAGATTTCTAGCAATTCTTATTGGGCATTTTATTAGGGAACTTTTTTTAAGTTATTATGTTTTGACATATTATACAAAGTTTTTAGACATAATTTTATGTAATTATAAGAAAATAATTTATCATCTGGTAGCAATATATTAAATGTTCAAAAAGTTATCAATCTCTCGAAACAAATTTCTCACTTAAGCTTTTTAATTTCATGTACCGACAGTACAACTGTCCTAATACAGAAACCCGCTTTTTTTGAAAAATATTTTCGAAATTAATTAGGGGAGAGTGGGGAGTTGTGCAACAACTTACTAACTTACTATATCACAAGCAGAGGTAATTTTTCTAAATCTTTATATGCTTTGTTATGTTGTCATATAAAAAATAATATCCTAACACGAAGTTTTCTTATTGCTTTATAAAGTGAGGTTCTAGATACATGGTATATTGACAAAGATGTACACTGTCGATTATCGTTCAATAAAAAATAATTAGATTTCGGTCATCCATAAAATTGGTTGTATTCAGAAAAGGTTTTCTACAGTTTTCCTTTTTCCTTACGAGAAAACCCAAACAGACTGATTAGACAGACGCATTAGTGTAGGATAGATTTTCTTAGTTATAAGAATATTTTTTGGAGACACTTGTAAGTAGAGCAAGAGTCTAGAAAGACGCGAGTTCATAAATAAAATAAATATAAAATAATAATTCTTCTTAATCTATTAACTATTTAGAAGGCATGTGTCTCTGAGTATCGTTTAACATAACAATTAATGCTAAAAATAGTAGTCAAAACTTCACGTTAGTGCAGTATCATTAAATTTCATATACGTTATCATTAAATATTATAAAAGCTTTCATTATTTCAATAAAAAATAATCGTAATGAAATTTACTTTTCTTTTATGTATATTAAAATAGCTTTATAAATCATTATTAAATGTACTAATATTCGTACAATAAAAGTAGAAGAGAGTAGGGTAATAGTGCTAGGTTCATATTTAATGATATGTATATATGTGATGTTTGATTGATGTATGTTTACAAGCCAGTAGAAATTTTAATTAACCCATTATCCTCCACCCCCACAGCACCGAAATTATCCTAAAAATTTATTGAATATTTACTTGCAATATTCGGCATATTTAACTGAAAAATTTAGTGAAAATTGTGCAAAGATTTAAATGTCCTGATTAAATAAATATTTAGTGTGAAAATTTCCTGAACATTAAAAAAAAATTTCGCCCATCGCGAAAATTAAATTTAAATTTTCAGGAAAGTTTTAAGCTATATATCCTGATTCCTCATTTGACTCTGGATTTTTATAATTTGAAATGACGGATAAATTTCATCTCATAGCCCTTCTGTATATTATAGTAAACGTTTACCATCTCTCACCATGTAGTTTCAAATAGAATTTTTTTACATAATAAAATAAACAAATTTAAAACAGTCAAAAACAAAAAGATGTTAAATTTATTTAAATTATCTATTAGGTTTTTATATGAATTTAAGAAAAAATCATTTAAATGATAAAGTATTGGTGTTGTATGCTTCGATTAGAATTAAATCAAAAAGAAGTATTTTATGTCTGTATAGTAACAATTAAAATACGATTCATTAAAAATAAATCTGAACTATTTTGTATGTTATAGAGGCTTAAGAGGGATCAATTGGAGAAACAATAATACTGCCCAAAGAATGGAGTTGTGTACATAACTGTAAGTTCTAATAGCAAAAATTTATCTATAATATTTTATTAGTGATAATTGCTTACACTTTAATAATATAATAATTTAACTAATTATTCCTCAAATTTTTTAAATATATATATTATTAAAAAAGGAAAAATATATGATTTTTTATATAGTATAGAGAAGAGACGGTTAAGAATAGTCATGTAAGAAAGATTACACTTAGCAGCTAAACTTGATCATCTGGAAAACATTACACTTTTTTTTCGTCTTTTGGCATTAAGACGAGTACATATTTATGACAAATGGTATGTTTTTTGAATGAGCCACTTAGTCAATGTAGTCTTTCCCTGTAAAAAAAAAGTATTGGGAGGTACAGGATTCCGCATTGCGAGTGCCAACCTGCCAATGCGGTATTCGCGAATTACCGCATTGGGTGTCGTGGTGAATACGGAAATCAAGGGGTCCCAATGCGGTGCCAGTTTTAAGCTTTAAAAAAACGAAAATACGTGACAGGAGGAAATAATTAGTGTCAGTGGAGAAATATGCGAGTTAAAGGAATGAGAAAATAATAATAGTGAGTGTAAAAATGAAATTTTAAGAAAAAAAGGTAAGTTGAACTGTCAAATATGGGCCCAATGCGGCATAGGCTGATTTCAATGCGCCACAGCAAAAGCAACTTTGACTGGTTTGAATGGTGTGAAATAGGTAAACAAACATTTTCTAACACATTTGTCTCCGTACACAGACACTTTTCACTAAATCTGCCAACGTACAATTGGTAAGCATCGTCTAAATTACAATAATCGAAAATATTGTTTAGATTCATGCAGAAAAGTGGTTATAAAATAAAAAATTGGAAAGTAATGTAATGCAAATCATATGTCAGCTGGGCCACTGTGTTCGCTCGATTCGCTCTGCTTGCTTCTGCCCTCTACTGGCGACTTGCACTATGTACCGATTGTGTACCACATTGAAAGCAGCCTACGCCTCATTGGACTCATATTTGACAGTTCAACTTACCTTTTTTTCTTAAAATTTCATTTTATACTCACTATTATTATTTTCTCATTCCTTTAACTCGCATATTTCTGCACTGACACTAATTATTTCCTCCTGTCACGTATTTTCGTTTTTTTAAAGCTTAAAACTGGCACCGCATTGGGACCCCTTGATTTCCGTATTCACCACGACACCCAATGCGGTATTTCGCGAATACCGCATTGGCAGGTTGGCACTTGCAATACGGAATCCCGTACCTCCCAATACTTTTTTTTTACAGGGTTGACTAAGGTCCTACTCTCCCCTACTTTTCTTCGTATTAAAAATTTTTTTTTTGTTTTTAATTTAGTAAACTATAAAAATTGATTTAATAAATTTGCCTAATAATTTTTATTATTATGACTTTTTCTTCTCTATTACAAATAATTATACCTACTATACAATATATTTATTGTACAATGTAGTGTACAAATTTTGAACATTTCATCTTTGTTTTCTAAAATCACTTCTGTAACAATACTCATGTTGCTCTTAGCATTATCTACATCAAGCATTAAAATACTTTGCTATTTCTACGGCTTCATGAGTTCGATCTGAAATAGTTTTCACTTCTTTCGCCTATACATTCAGCCACTTAGGCTGCTTGTTTTCTGGCATAATGTTTCTATGCGTAGAGTCAATCGAGTTGTTCACGAATGAATTTAAAGTTATTCAAAATTATCAAAACTAGATTACTCTTCATTTCTTTAAATATTTTCAAAAATTTTTTGGAGCTCGTCCTTTGTTAAAATGTTTTTTATGACTTGTCAGGGCAATTTTAAAATTGAAAGTCCTCTTTTTGATTAATATTGAACATAGTTTTACCTGATGTGTGTTTGATCTGTGGATGCTGTTCTACATAAGGTATTATCAGTAATGGTTGAATTGAAAGTATTGCCGCAAAATTTCTGTAACGTTATATGTGTAAAATGTTTCTGACAATTATTAATCATAATTTTATCAAAAGATAAAGATTAGGATTCTCTCAATTGTAATTATTGTGTTCTTTCTCCTCACTCTTACACTGTAAAAAATTTAGGGAGTTAACGGACTCGGGAGTTGGGAGTTAAATTTTTCGAGTTAAAAATCAACTCCAAAAGAGAGTTAATTTCTAACTCCCTTCATTCAACACCCGCGCGAGTTATTTTTTCCATGAGGAGTTAGCATTTGGGTGTTAAATTTTAACTCTCTTTATTTAACTCCCCTGGCATTAACTCTCCAATGGGTGCGACTTTTATAGAATCCCCTGGGGAGTTAAAATTTAACTCCCTTTTTTTACAGTGTACAATGAATGTGTGTACAAGTTAAAATCTACTCATTATTAAATGGTACAGCTTCTACAGACTTCCACTTGATAAACATTTATATATAAATGTAAACAGGAGTATAAATAAATAAAAAATTCTATTATATATATATGTCCACTACCAGTGCAAGAATAGTCAAAGTATATTTTTTGCTATTCATTATTCGATAACTGATCATGTTTAGCTGCTAGATGAAATCCTTCTTACTTAACTATTTTTGACCCACTCTGCACTAATCCAAATTTAATGTAGACGCACTTTAACAAGTCTAAGAAAACGTTTAGAGTTCCTGCTATTGCCTTCTACAATGACCTTGAGATAATTGATTAGCATGAAATTGTTGACGCATTTGCTTATTCATTTGTTAACGTTTATAAACTTTCTACTTTTGATCCTAGCACAATTTGTTCTGATAATTCTGTTTATGTTGGAAATAGTTTGTTAATAGGGCCTTAGGTAATTTAATCAAAAATTTAATTTTTAAGGGGTCAGTCTGGGTCGTTTGCACGTATTTTGAAAAAAAATTTTTTCATAGTAAAATTCATTTAAACATTTTAAAATTTTTACATATTATTACACTAAGCTAAATAAAAAAAAAATTTTCTATATTTTTTGTTGTTAATAGCGAAGAAATGGCAAATTGAAAAAAAAATCTCGAAAATCTGGTTGACATGATATCTCCAGTCAGAACAGACGGAATCAAAAAATTCAAACGGATTATCAAAATATAGGTAAGTGGTTACAGCCTGAACTAAAATAAAAAATTTTCATTGAAAAATACCAAAATGGAGGATTTTTTACTTTTTTAACCCTTCTTTTGCAACTAAAATTGTTTAAAAAACAGGTTAAAAATTATCTAAAAATTATGATTTTAGCTCAAGCTGTAACCACTTACCTATATTTTAATAATCCGTTTGAATTTTTTGATTCCGTCTGTTCTGACTGGAGATATCATGTCAACCAGATTTTCCAGATTTTTTTTTAAGTCGTTATTTCTTCGCTATTAACAACAAAATATATAGAAAGAAATTTTTTTTATTTAGTTTAATATATGTGTAATAATATGTAAAAATTTTAAAATGTTTAAATAAATTTCACTATGAAAAAAAAATTCTCCTAAGTACGTGCTTATTTATTTCAATCCGAGCCTTTATCACAAGGATAGGCAATACAAAAATAAACTATTAGTTATAAAATTTAATAAAATATTATAACAACAAAGAAGTTAAACATTTGTGCTTTTAAGTTACAGCTACATTATAGTGCCTTAGAGAATAAACGAGTTATAAATATTCTACAATTACTGTTAACGTAGAATTTTCATAAATTTCAAAATTGTAGATATTCAAAGATGGGTCATGAAAATGAATTAGAATGTAGACAATGTTTTATCGCAAATATTACCTTAGAAAATAAACGAGTTATAAATATTCTACAATTACTGTTAACGTAGAATTTTAAAAAATTTCAAAATTGTAGATATTCAAAGATGGGTCATGAAAATGAATTAGAATGTAGACAATGTTTTATCGCAAATATTAATGGAAAATTAATAAATTATCTTTCTATAAGGCTTTTTGTTGTCGTTAATAAAAAATTTAATATTAGAAAATCTATTTTCAATATTTTGGGTCCAATATGTCGTACTTAAAATTTTTACTTTCCACATATTCAAATTAAAATTTTTAAATAACCGTCATGTGCGGATTTTGAGGGTCGCCATTTACGAATCTAATGTCATAACATCATTGTTTTAAGAGTGACTATAGAGCTAAGTAAGTAATCGATAACAACAATAGATAAGAATGAACTTGTTGTCTTTAGACAATGATAGATTACGAATGATCTTTAGTAAGATAGATGAAATATTATTATTTATAGAAAAATATATGAGGTATTGCATGGGAAGTGATCCAGGAGGTAAAACTATTTACTTTTTGCAATCCGCGCTTGTTGCACGCTACATTCTGGCGCAATGCATTTTGTCTCGTTAAATTTTTCTAATTTTAAAATCTATGAAGCTCTTTGCATTTTAAAGGGTTGAGATTATCTTTCGGTCAATGTTAACTATGGCATGTAAAGAAAAATTTTAAAATTTATCATTATGATGTCAAAATGTAGGTTGTCAAACTTTGCATTGATAGTATTTTAGTCGTTTACCCTGATACGGCCCATTATTTCCACATGCGTACCTTTTGTAATCTCGCCATAAAATTTTGTAACGCAGACTGGAAGTCTATATTATATGTATCGGTAATGGATCCATTGCCATATGAGAAATTTCTGGTTGTTAGTACAATTATGGACGTTCTTACAAGTCCTTGATGACAAACCATTTTTCCTACTGATGATGGAACACTTTCAAAATCGACGTTCTTGACCACGACTTCTTCGTCCTCCTTGGGCATTGGTCCTAGCAGATTCACAATTGTTGGTATCTGAATTGATAGTTCTATTTTCAGAACAGATCCTTCAAATTTTTTCTTTTTTGTCATCTAGAACAATACACGAATGTGTCTTCCCGATAAATTGCTAAGGATACACCTGAAGAATGTGTTATCTGTTTCAGAAGGTTTCTTCGAATTATTGTTATAAGCAGCCGTATCTGAAGCTCTGTTGTTAAAGATCGATGATCGTCGCTTTTAAAGAACCAGATAACTGTCGTCAGGTTGAAAGGAATCAAGTTTCTCGTCTGATATCAGTGTATGTCCGTTGACTATTTTCTCCATCTTGGGATTATAAGGAAGATAGACTGGAAAAAAGCTAAGGGTGTCTCCAGGTACCTAAAAGGACAAAAGATCGGCAAGTGAAGTTAAATGAATACAATTAGCTAAGGCAGTTCAAGAAGGTGTATGGATTCAATTTCAACAGCTATTTGAAGATTTTTTATCTAAAGAACAAAGTGCATATACAATTTTTGAGGACAATTAGACTTGTTTCAGCAGTAGATCAAAGCATATTTCAAACGAAGTTTGTTGCAAGTCGTTCAACAACTGATCAGTGTGTGTTGTTGTTCTAGTTGTCTTTATGATGTCTCCGAGACATCATCCGTGTCCGCTGACAACATCAGTCGTCTTGAAAAGGTTTCTGTGCCCCCGGACGACCTGTCAGCCAAGTGCCACTACTTTTTTTCGAGTGAGCCCCTTAAAAATTAAATATTTAAATACAGATTCCAGTATGTCAGAGTTCTAGAATTTAATAAACTCACATAAACAATTAATCATTTTAATTTAAAGAACTAGTTTGATGTTTTATAAATTTTTAATTTAAAATATATGCTGGAAACAGCAAGTTGCCAGGAGAGATTAATTTTTAAATTTTAGAACTAATCAAGTCGAACATACGTATGTCTCTAAACTATTTCAACTGAAGATTGTTTGGTTTACGGACCAAGAAAGAATGCATTCTTCTCATTCGGCAGCTTAAGTGGAATATATTCAGAGTTTAATACGATTGACCTATATCATGCTAATTTAATGCACTAACGCAGAATTCAATGAACTCCATTTTACATTTTTCTTCACGCATAATAAAATAAGTAATTAAATAATGTAATGAAATCCCTCCTGTTTCAGGAGATGGAGACTACTTCTAATCTTCTTAACTGCATACGTATTTTGGTCTTTCGCAACATCCGCCTTTTGCATTATGGGATACGATTGCACTTCTAATCAATTAAATTTAACTACGAATTCATTGTTTAAAGTAGGGAATTATGAGGCTCTGCAGGGTAAGCTATATGCTACCAAAACTTATATTCAACTGGTACAATTTAGCAGAATTACTACTACTAAGGTAATACAATGTAAAGTAGAAGTTAAATGTACTCAATTATTGTGGCATGCATTCACACAATTTTCCTGTAACAAATGCGAACTACAAAAATATTGAAAAAATTTCTTATGAAACTATGATCGTATTTATCGCGTTTAAATCCATCAACGTAATAAACAATTATCTGTAAAATAATTAAACGTAGATTATATGAATTTAAAAGTTGTAACAATTTTACGAAAAAACTAATTTTTATAAAATTCCTTAGGTACACTATGCGTCGAAAAATTAAATATATGCTTAGAAACACTGGCCAATGCCAGCCAGTGTCCATAATTGAGAAAATAGAATAGTTGTTACGATATCGTTGATTTTTCCTTTTTCTCATTATGAAAAAAGTTCTTTCACTTAAATGTAAAAATATTTGGCTCCAATGGACAGACTTTATGTTTCTTTTTTTAAGCTAAAGGTATTTAAATTTCTAATTAACAATTTGTACAATATTTTTCATTTTAATCATCACCTAAAATGATATTGATAGAAATATTTTAGATTCTGTTAATGATTCTACTTAAATAAAAATTTTAATGACCGAATTCATGATAGGTAATTAAAGTTTCATATTATACGATGAAAATAAGCGCTTTTCCTATAAAATTGGTTTAAAAGTTATAAGTATTTTAGTTTTATTGAAGCTGACTTGTGTTTTATTTTGACGCCCTTTTGTGTTCAGTGTTAGTTTCTTTAATGAAAAGCCAACAAAAATCATCCATCATTGCTTCATCCCAAAATGTTTGGTAGAGACGTTCTACTGACTTTAATTGTTGGTGAATGTGTTTACCATTGGAAAAACATTTTCGTAATCTTAATACAAGTACGAAATAGTTACAAGATATTAAAATTTTGAATCTTAAAAAATTAGTCTTAAAATTAATTAGTTCGGTAAAACTTTTGTGCCCATAAATATTATGTCCTGCCTTTGGTATCAACTGTTTAACTTTATGGATGTATTGCGTTATTATTAGGTATGTTGGCTCCACTATTGGCGAGAACAGTTGCACTGACTAAGGTCCGGCAGACAAGTTGTACTAGGAATATACACTGTCCATTTTGGATAAATTTGTCTTTCTATTAATTGATAAGTTGAATCTACCCCAACTGTACAATTCCTTTTCGGTTGTTAATGTAAATTAGTTTAAATTTTATGTGATCGATTTCCAAATAGAAAGTTGTTATTCATTTGTCACTTATTTTCATCTTTTTTAATTACTGTTTCAGAAATTGTAGTTTATCAACTACTAAATTGAAAACTGCGTGAACTTTTAAAGTTCAAATTATTTCTATATAAACAATTAATCTCATATGAATGTTAAAAAGTAATAAAATTTTTTAATTTTGTGCTTGTTGCAGTTGTTCGAGAAATCTTATTTTTATAAATAACATGACTTTAAGAGTCAACAACCGTACCCTGGAGTTCAAGTATACTTCCAAATTAAAGTAATCATTATGATTTGACAAATCTTGGAAATAGTCTAAGGTGTAAGGAGTAAGGAGTTCGAATGTTAGAGAACGTGCATGTGGTTCGAGAAGTCCGTTTGCCAGCAGAGTGGCCTAGTGAAATTTATAAGAAGCAGAAGTGGAGGAAAAGCAGTGAGTGGAAGGATACGTGGACCAACCTCGGTCCGCCATCCTGGCGGTATGGTCCTTTGGGCCACAATATTATTCCTTCAAGGAGCTGGTCTTGTAGGTAAGGTTTAAAAAATTTGATTATTTATATCAAACACTCAAACAATTAAGATTTTAACAGGGCTGCCGTTTCCGGTACCGTTTCGGTGTACACGCTTTTAGAAAGAGTTAAGATTTTTTTGAGAATTCTAAATGTTTTAAAAAAGGGTGGGTAGTGTAGAGTGTTGAGTGGGTAGTGTAATTTGCAGTAGTGTAAAGGAAAGGTATGTTTGTATAAAGTAGTGAATGTATGAGTGATTTTGGTAAAAAAGAGAAGGGTGTTTTGTGAGGTTAGGTTTTTGAGCACTTGAGTGAAAAGGTAGATTTCTGGAATGGCTAAGTCTGACTCAAGTAGTGTAAGTGAGAGGGAGAAAGAGGCGCGAGTATTTGAAAGGGGGATAGGAAAGAATGGAAAAAGATGACGTGTGAGGATTGCATGGATTTGTTGGAATTAGTATGGATATTGAAGGATGCGATGGATGAAGGAGCTAAGAGAGTGAAGGGAAATTTGATGGATATCTATGAGGATAGGGAATCAAGGGACAAAGAGATAGTGGAAATTGAAGAGAGGTTGGAGAAATTGCAGGAAATGTGGAATGAATGGGATGGTATGTGGAAAAAAGAAAAGGAAAGCATGTGGAAAAGAATGAATGGATTGGAAAAATTTATAAAGGAAATGAATGAGGGGACTGAGAAAGTTGAGGGAAGTGAATATGAGAGGTTAAAGTGGAAAATAGGAGATTTGTCAAGGCGAGTTGATGTAGTAGAAAATGAAAAAAAGAAAAAGAATGTAGAGATCAGAGGTATAAATATAGGTGTGTTGGAGGGTAAAAGAGCAGTGGAAAAAGTGTTGGCGTGGGTTTGGGTGAATGTCTCAGTTAAAATGGTACAAGCGTTAGGAAGGGGTGACTATGGGGTATCAAAGTTATGGTTGGTGGAGTTGGGTAGTGAGGAAGAGAAAATTGATGTGATGAGGGTGAAAGGAAGACTGAAAGGAAGTGTAATAAAAATAAATGAGGATAGAAGTTGGAGAGAGAGAAGAATGATATGGCTATTGAGAGAAAGAGCGTGGACGGAGAGAGTGAATTGGAAACAGGTAAGAATAGGTAAAGATTGTATTTGGGTGGATGGGGTAAAGTATGTTGTGAAGGAGGATACGGGTGGAGTGATGGAAGCGGGTAAAGTGTGATAGACAGGGATAGGCTGAGAATGAGGTGAGAAAATTTTGCTTGGATAGATGGATAGGTAAAAGTGGATGACTGGAGGGTGTAAGAGAGGTGAGAAAGGAGTAGAAGGTTTTTGAAAAAGGGTGGGCGAATTGGGTCGAAGCCAGCATGGGCATAGAAGGAACTGGAAACGGAAGCCCGGCAATGGCGAAAGGTTAAGAGCGTAAGGTTGGGAGTGTGGAGAGAGTTGCGTTTAGGTTAAGTTGTATGTAGAGAATGTTTAGTTGTAAGGATTTTTGTAAATATAAGTTAAGATTATTATGTATGTACTTGGGAGTCTCAAACCCTACCTATTGTAAGAGGAGAGTAAATAAACTATAATAATTAAGATTTTCACATATTTTATAACATAGAGTGAAAATTTCTCAAACGGATCACTTAAAGAAAAATTTTTTTTCATCGAAAATAACTTTTTTGTATTCCTCGCAGAGCAAAAAAAGACCCTGGAAATTCTAGAAGAAACAAAATTTGTTGGTTAATGTTATTAACGAATTTCCAAGCGTTATTCGTGTCATGTCAAGGCACAAGCAAATCATTCTTTAAAAGTTCCTCCAGTCATTTCATCATGATAATTAATTGAATTTTTGTTCACTCCATAAGCAATAGTCCTCCTTCCATAAAACCATTATCACTTCCAATATGAAGACTAATTTGTCGCTTCCTTAATTCCAGTTGGATTTGATGGTCTTGTTGTTAAACCTCTTTGAAAGCTTGTCTTGCAGACGTAATAGTAAGGTCATTCCAGCATTTACTTGAACAGACACCTGTATTGTACCAAGTTTCATTAAAGAATTATATGGTTTTTTCCCTCACGATATCGCTTTATATTTTCCAAATAATTTCCTCGTCATAATACAATATCATATTTTTAATCAACATGCTATTTCTCTGACGATCAGAAAACTTAAAATTCATTTCATTTAACGAGCGATGCAAAGAATTACGGCTTATATACTCAATATCAGGATCCTTCTTAATAGAGTTGATAACAATTTTTACATAAATAATTTTCACAATCTTCACAAAACTATTGTGTTCTTATAAAACATTTTTCCTTAGAGTAACTTCTTTTTTTGCTGATATAATTTTCTTGTGAGATCTTGTTTTGATTGTTGAAAGTAACTATCACAAATGATCATCTTTGAGTCTTTAAAAGTAATATAATTTACTCTACTGTTTGTAACATGGTTGACAGTATAATTGACCCAAAATGATCATTGACAAAGAAAGACTTCTTTTAGACGTCCCAGTGCCCATTGGGTGTTGCTTACAAAAAATGTTTAAAGTTTTAAAAAAGTATATTGTTTGAAAGTTATTTAATATTTATCGTCTATTTGCCGGTAAAGTACATTTTTATGTAATAAAATAATATAAATTAAAAATTTTAATTCAGGTTCGATGACTGGAGTAAAGGGCGTTCCAGAGAATATTACCGTAATGTTTCTAAACCCGACGTCCGTTCGAGTATCCTGGAGTACTAGCCAAGTTGAAAAAGTGGAGAAATATGATGTTTCATATAAACCTACAGATGCAAGGTGCGTCCCCAAAATTTCGGTAATGTATATATCATGCGTATACAAACATTCCAATCTGGAATCAGAAAGGTTTTCAATATTACAGAGGCAGTGTCATAAACTATTAAAAATAATAATTATCTACTTTAGAAAGTTATTAACAACTTTGTTACACAGAATCAACTGCTGTAAGAAAGGTTTAGTAACAAATAAGAGCAAGATAAATCTAAAAAAAATATTTGTATTTCAGAATTAAAGTTTAAAAGGAGAATTTTATTTAAATATTTTTTTAACTTTCGCTGGACTTAATCCCACCCTTGTTGGCTCGAACGATGGTAATGATGGGTGTTTTCGGTGTGAATTTGAATTATCCTCTGGGAAAACTTCAGTCATCCTCAAGTAAATGCTAAAAGTTGTTTCTGTCATTATTTTGTTAATAATTTGCAATTGGTTAATTCAGTCAGTTCTTCATTTTCATTGGTTCAAAAATTGTGAATTGGAACAATGTAGAAAATATTCCTTACGTTCTAGAAACATTTCGTGAAAGTATAATCTGTACTTTGAAAACTTTTTAATTTTTCCATTCTAAGTATAAATCTACACTGAATTATTTAGTAATAATTTTTTTGAGAAATTAAACAATTGTTTCCAGATAGTAGTTTATGTTTGAGAATAATTTTTCTATAAACTAAGGGATATTTCGTACAGTGTCACAATTTTAGAACCAAGGAAAATTATGATATTATAAAGTTCATTAATTACAACGAATTACCCAAATAATACCAGAAACAACGTCTAAAATTAATTTGAGCACCACTGAGTGTGACAGAAGGATACAATGAGTACAAGTCGAAAGCACCCGATGTTATAAAATCTTCAGGATTTCAACACTTACTATGTACAAAACCAAATTGACTTCTGAGATAGAACTGCAAGTTTGATGAAAGATTGCAGGATAATTGGGAATATAGATACGTTTGGTTAAAACGGGTCTGTTTTAGTATTTCGCATTTATAAAAAATCACCTGATCGATATTCGAGGCACGCATTACAAAATATAAGCATGAATCGATGAAGATGTGGTAAATGACCCATCAGGAAACAAAAAGCAGCACAAGAAAATTGACAAGAAAAATTAGAACACAATATTTTACTTGAATAATTCCTTTGTTCTGTTTTCTATTAACGGGTGAGTAATTATCTCAATCAATAAATACTTCTATTTTGTAATGCATTACGAATTCATGTCTAATTATACTAGCTTCGACAATGTTCCTTTTCAAGAAATATTCATGTATACAGCCTGATAGCAGACATGAGCGTTTTCAAACTCTAATCTTCTAATATTTTCAAATCCCCCCACATTGTATACAATGTGAAGTATACGCTACAGTTATATAATTTAGTACCATGCTCTCAAAAATTAAAGAAAAAGATGTGTTAATTGAATCCAATCTTAAATCTTAAGGGAATTTGGAGTTAAAATCAATCCATCACTTTTTTCTTAAAATTAAATCTTTTTTCTGTTAAAAGTAAAAATGCAGATGATTACATTTAATGACTAATAAATAATTATTTTTCTCTTGCCGCAAAGGAACAATAATAGCAGGTATTCTACAGTTTTTTGTCGGTTTGGATCTATAGGTTTTAATAAGCATTGCTTTTGTACGTAGAAAAAAGGCTAATTAACGACCAACGAAAGCTAACTAGTATATTAATTTAACCTAGATAAGTGAGAACAATATAAGCGAGAAAGCATTAAAGTAAGAGTCATCTTTTAATCTTATCAATCCTGCAAGTAAAATTTTTTATAAAAATACAGATAACATTTTTATTAACACGTTTCGTAAATGGAGATTTGGAAAATTTGCCCAAATTAGAACCATCTTACAGAATAGGATAGAGAAGTCTGCGAATCTAGTTTATTTGATAAGATGGGATTTACAAATGGAATTGTATAAAAACATCCTTCGTTACTTGAATTCTCGCTTATTAAGGTTCAATTGTAATACGTAGAAATTATGCTTGTATTCTAGGCTATTAGACTAACCTTATCATGATATATGTTATTTTTGTCGATTTGCTTCAATACTAAATCAATTAAGTTTGGTTATCAATTTACATCAGTTTATTTATAAAATGACCTAGAATAACTGAAATTTTTAAACCTAAAATTATTTTATATCTACAATTAGTCATTGTTATCGCGTAAGATTCATTAAAAGGTTTTGCTGATTTTTAAAAACTTAAACTTGTTTGCGAATTAATGCTTATTACAATTATATTTCTTTTTGTATGTCATAATATATAGAAATTTTTATTTAAAAATATAATCAAATACGAGTGGTTACAATACTGCAACAAATCTGCACATACTACTCTTAAAAAAATCAATATTGTTAGACTACTTATTAGCCTCTCTCATTAGTTCTAATCATGCTTAAGAGATTAGAGAAAAACGCTGCTAAGTTGAAGTATTAACATTTTTGTGTTTAAAATTTAGAAACAGGTTTTTAGAGATTTAGAAAAACATAAAATAACTAAAAATAACGCTCACAGCATGAGATATCTAGTAGATATATCGTAAGCGATATCACACGGAACGGAAATTTTGATATCTCAGAACACATGGGATATCCCACGTGGAATTTATGCCAGCGCATTTGCAGGAAACAATCAAGTTGTGATTGTGTTTTACCTTGTAGAATATAACTGCGTAGAATTTTTTCCTTTTCACTATAATAAATATATTTTAATTTAAGGTTCTTAATTAGATCGAAGTGTGGATTCCCCATAAGAGCTGAGAGCCACTAGCAAACTGATCCCCCCATATTTTCCTCTTTCCGAAATGTAATTACCAAATAGTATATTTCGTAACGAGTGCGAGCAGTTGTCAATTGTCAATTTGAATGAGCGAAGCTTCGCTTCGCCTACAGTTTGTTCCAAAAAAAGTGCTCGTTCAAAAATTGGCAACTGCTAGCACTAGTTACAAACGATATTTTTCATAACGCGGTGCAAAAAAGTGGCCTTTTTTGCACCGCGTTATGAAAAAAATTATACGTTTCAAAATCAGTTGTCAATTAACGCGCGTGTGTTTATGTTGCTTTCATTCTTTTGTCTATCTTATTCTTGAATAATATAGAGAAAGTTAATGTGATAATTGAAGAGAAGAGTAAGCCTTTAATAGGTACTTAAGTTTTCTTCCCAAAAAACATTTAAAAAATGACATGAAACGATAAGCTTATTAAAAAAGCTGTAAGGCATATATAGAAGTAAATTCCGACCATAAAATAATTGAAAAACATCAATCATTACTATAATCCGGACAGTGAGAAAACTTTTTGTAAAAAAAAATTAAGTAATTGTTTAAAACGTAAAGCTGTTGATGATCCTTCAGATCGGCCATAAAAAATTTTACACAAGGAATTAAAAAAAGAGATATAAATACTTTAACGATTGACGATGTTCCGTTTTCATTCAAGCCACAATTTTTGGAAGCAAATGCAAGAATTTTTAGTGAGAATATTTAAGAAAAAATTCAGAAATTGGTTCAAATAATTTTTTGGTTTATCATTTTTAGATCCCAGAATGTAGAAGATTTTTTTGTTGATAATCACAATTATTCCAGTTGACGAAAGAAAAGTAGTGAAATTTTGTTACGATGTTTTACTGGCATACATTGATTCTCATTCTGATTTTTCTCCAGAAATTTTGGGCTGAATTTCAAATAGTGTAACTAGAACAAAAATTCCTGATAATGCTTTCATTCAAAATGTAATTTCTTTTTTATAAGGCTAATCTCAAAATTTTTAATTTATTGATATTTTAAAAGGATAAGTTCAATCATACAGAAGATATTAATTATCTCAAAGTAAAGAAAGAATCCACTAATTTGTTCATATCTTGAATTTAGCAATGTATGGAACACTTTTGAAAATCTTACATCAATTTCCTTTAAATATGTCATCATGATAGATTTTTATTATTACGTTAATCTTTTTAGACAAATCAGCGTGATATTTTTTTCTAAAACCAAAACTAATCCCACCTAAAATAAATTATTCACAAAAGCTTGAGGGTTATGGAGTTAAGGAATGATACATTTATTCAAAATAGTAACTTCGTTGTCTTCAGTAAATAAATGAGAATTTACTATACTGTGACATTTCTTTGCTCGTTTTTTATTTTTACAAAGAAGACAAAATATTTCATAGTAATTTATCTGACATTACCTTGATTAGAACATTGCCTTCTAAAATGTGTTCTGCAATGATAGTGTAAAAAAGCTCTTCAGCATCTGCATAAATCACTAGACGTTTTTTTATGATTTTATTTTTACATTTCATTGCTTAACTTAAATATATTGAATCATTAAATAATTATAAATTGCCTCATTACAATTTGATACCATATTATTTTAAACAGAAACTAATATATGTAAGAAGGTGTCAACCTAGATTTAAGTCAAACAAATTTATTATTCAATTTAGATTTTTATAAAAAATAAATGACCCATTTTCATATTGAAATTCATGCTCTGATTTTGTATAAATATCCTTAAAAGTTTTTGATTCTTTTTACATGTGATCTCTATAGTACGGAACAACGAATTTCCTGCTGTGATAATTTTTATACTGGACAAGCAACCAATTGTCAATTGATATGTTCTGGGTTTCGAATAAAACTAAAATTTATTCCACAATTTTCAAAGTTTTAATTTTCAAAATCAGATTTCTAACAATATTATTTATTCTTATAACGGAATTACCAGATAATAAATATGAATATATATATTTTGATACAAGAAAAATAAGAAATACAAAAAGTCTTTTAGAAATCATAGAAATGAATGAATAGAAGAAAACATACAAATGTCTGTGAATAAGAGCAGAATTTGATAAATATATACTAGCTTTATGAAGGAATGGCCATGAAATTTATTTATTACAATAGAATATATCATTTATATGAAAAATTGACGTAATATTATTTAAAAGGTTATGTGCGCCTTTTTCTAACAATAAATTTGTATGAAGTACTGTTTTAATATCAATCTGTGAAATTATTATTTCAACATTTATTTAAGAGTAATTAATTATATGTTAAAAAACTAATTTTTTTCAATTTTAACCTGTAATCTGGATTAAATCCAAGGTTATGTGGAGATGACCGCTCTTGTTCTGGTCGACCCACTAAAAATCACTCCCGTCTTTAACTAGACTTATCTTCAACATGCGGCTTTTTACATCCTTGGTAAAGGTGCCTTCTTGTCCCTTACGCAATCCTTAGGTTCCGCCTAATTTGTTCTTCGTTTTTGACACTGTCTTCTTGGCCTCTTCGAGGGCCGATCTGATACTCGGCATCTGGACAGTGCATAAATCCAATCTTGATGTGCCAAAGTTTCATACCTCACGTATTTAGTTCTAAGACAGTCACCTTCCTACTTTATAGCTTTTCGAGAACATCTTACAACCTCTACTGTACCACCACCACGACAAGGTCTATCGAACATATACATGATGTCAGTCATGTCTGGCAGCGTACAAGCATCCACCTAAATCCCAACACATCCATGACATCGATGTTTTTCAGCAATGGTTATTTCTAATTCTTGTTATTTAAATTTTTAATTATTGAGGATAGCCGGGACGGGCTCTGGGAAAATTATCATGATCGGACCTCATAGTAGGATTATAAAAACTTGAATTATTCTCTTTTAATGAAGATCAGTTATCATTTAAATTATTTCAGACATTAAATTTTCAATATTATTATTCCGGCATCAAATCTAATCCCTTCAAAATAAAAAAACTTTATTCATCCTGTAATACACATTTATTTCTGAAATAGTATCCTATTTTACTTACTCCTAATCTTATTTCTACAATAGGATATATTTATCCGCATATAGTTAACTCAAATAAAATTTGTGTTATATTTAATTTTTTTCAAACCCAGAGAGGCCGGGTCCCGAAGACTCTTGGCCCTGAGGCATTTACCCCTGCTGTATTTATTGCGACTCTGGATTCAGAGTTGCTGTATAAAATGGTGGTTTTACTAATAAAAAACGTTTTTTGCAAAAAAAAACATTCATACTCATTATAGTTTGTAGGAGCTAACAAAAATGGTTTGAATAAGAATCCCGTTTTACTCCTAGAAACATGAGGTAAAAATGGTTTTTGTGATAAGCGTTCTTGGTAGCTTATTTTACATGTCAGTGAACTATTTTAAGGTGCTAAAAAAGAATTTAGAAAAAAACAATTTTACCACTGTTAACATTGGATACTCTGATTATGCATGTTGTATTCATGATTTGAATATATTAGACGGAATCACAATGTAAAGATGGTTAGTTACAGGGTGGTGGCGGTGGTCGCGGGTAACAGCGAAGCGGTGACCCTTAGTGGCCTCCAAGCAGACACGCAATATCAACTGGTAGTCACTGCCGTTAGAGGTGGCAAACGATTCAAAAGCCGACCAATTGTCTTCCGTACACTGGGTAAACATTCTCTTTTACTTTACAAATGCTTTTTGACTATAAATATATATTCTCCATATATACCTACCTCTCTCCCATTACTTCTTTCCTTCCATGCTTTACCTCTCAGTTTTCTTAAAGGGAAAGAAACAATATAAATTTAACACTTTGTTAATATTGATATCTGATATTTCGGATCATCTAAAATTGTTTTCAGCATTGATTTCAGCGACCCGAAAAATTATTAAATACTAAGTTTCTTTAAAATTCTCTAGGTTTATAATTGTTTTCACATGGACCCATTGTTATAAATTTTTCAAGCAATCTGTGGTCTTGGTTAGCTTTTTCGCGATTTCAACCATTGTGCACCCTTAAGAAAATATGACATGAAATTTACGATTTTTATGAGTGTTTTTGCACATGCTGGGGAACGAACTCGTCACAATCTAATTCCAATAGCCTCAAAGACTGCATCATAATTTTAGCCTGCAAAATTACCGGACCCAATAGACCAAGAGGATCAAATAACTGCGGTATTTGCGATAACATTGTATATCCCAATAAATACCTAATGTTTTAGTAATTTCATCGAAATTTAAACAAATATGAAAATCACTTGATCCCTGTGACAAAGAAGAGGAGGAAACAGTTTGAACACAATTTTGGTTTTATAATTGTAAATTAAATCATTAAAATTTCTAAATTAAGAAAAGAAATCGTTTGAAGGTATAACACACTATGAACGCTCCGACCATGGGGTATCTTTTTTTAACTGCAGTGATTAAAAAAAGCAAATAAAAAACTATGTTACTTCTAATAAAATGGTCTAAAGATACTCTCGTTGCGCGATAGTATCACGAGATGAGTTTCCGGGTGAACTTCTTTTCCTAGTGAAAAGGGTGATCTGAAAAAGGGAAAAACGCAATGTAAGTTGAATTTGAACTACTTTTCTTAAAAGTAGACCAAGTCACAACGTTGTCCACAAGGCGTTAGATAGTAATAGAATGTGTTTTAACAGTAGTTATAGGTGCTTTCTATTCAATAAAAAATATTACAGCATCGAAGTTGGAACTTTATTCAGAATTCTAATTATTGTTTCCGTTGACAAGGGGAAAAGTGATTCGAGAAATTTAATCGGATTTATAATGAAGGTTTCAGTATTATTATATTATTACAGTATTATTTGATATCAATCATTAAAAAGTTTTGAAAATATTAGTAAAATTAAATGTACCTAGTACATAAGAGTTTTGACGAGACCTGATATCGCGTATAGTGTAAATTGGTTAAATCAGTTCAAAAACTGTTTTAATAAATAGCATTGTATCACAGCAAAGCAAATACTGCGGTAATTGCGTGAAACAATGAACCTGAAATTGATGTTTTAACAGGAGAACTTTGTAGATATCAGCTTTGTTGATGCTGACTAGGCGAACTGTGGCAATGGTGGAAGATCGTACAGTAGTAATGTGTTTTTGTTGGCAGATGCGTCTGCCTCTTGGGAAGCTAGAAAACAACGGATTATAGCTGCGCCCAGCACCGAAGCAGAGATAAAAAACAATATGGCATCAATACTTTTTAAAAAATTTTCTCAGCGAATTGCATTTTCAGATATCTGATGCTTTAAGCATTTTTAACAATAACCAAGGGGCACAGCGATCAGGAAAAAATCAAGTCTTTCACAATAGAACAAAACAAATATATATGAAACATTATTTTGTTCGAGATGCATTAAGGGATGAACTCATCGAATTGTAATATTTGTAGACGAATGTCTTGCTGATGTTTTTACGGAGGGGTTACCTGGACCTAATCATCGAAAGTATATTAATGACTTTGGACTTGTGAAAATATAAGTAAATTTTTGTTGTTGTTTAATGTTTAAAGTTAAAAAAAAGGAACATGACTTTTCGACGGAGGGGGAAGTGTTTTAGTTTGTAAGTCGCTCCAAAATGTCAATCTAAATTGAGTTGGTCACATGATGAGTGTAAAGTTTCGTTTTACTAATACAGATGTCACGTCGTTGGCTGTCTCGCCGTACTTAACGGTTGAGGTGTTTACATAGTACCTGTTAATAAAACCGATTTTAAATTATTATTATTATTACTGGATGCAATTATTATGGCCGTAAAATAAGGAAAATAGATCATAAATTTAATGTCTAGGTAAAAAAATTTTATTGTGTCTAATTCGTGGTTGTCGAGATTATTAGGGTAATTTCTGACTTCAGATTTACATTTAGCGGAATAAAATTTATTAAAATAAAAATTTGCGCTTTGAAAGTTTCTTTGAGGTTATCTTGAAAATCCAAAACGCAGGGTACAACACTTATTTATGTCGCAAGTTGCATGTTATGCCTTTTCGTAAGGAGCATATTCGTGCACCATGATTCCTATCAAAATATTAATGGAAAAAAAATATTGATTATTCACAGTTGTGTGCAATACAATACCTACTAAAGCAAGCATGCAATAGCAATAAATTTTCATTCATATGTTAAAATTATTTAAATAACTAAAATAAAATCTAATGTTTATTATTTTTCATGTTGTAACTTGAATATAAACGATCAAAAAAGTTTGAGTAAAAACTTTATTTTAGACATAAATCTTGCAATACATTTACTACACTTGATGACTCATGTCTAAAAACATATTTCTGGAGAACACGGAAATCTCGAAAAAATAGATGAAAAATTGTTTCATATGAAATATTTTTATGATAGTTTTAATTTTGCTAATTAATGATCAGTAAATTACTTTTAATGTTAAAAGTCCCGCAAATATGAAAAATATCATTTTGAAAAAAACGCGTTTTAATAAAAAATTACTTTTTGTAATGACAGTACGACTTGGGCTTTCGATTGGTAAAGACATCTCAACCCAGCCATGGCAAGAGCTTATTTTCAATGAACGATTGACTTATGTTAATGAATATTTGAGTACCAATTTATTTCTTTCTCCTCTAAATTGGTTACCCCGGCGTGATTTTTAGAGTCGGTGAGGTGAAATTGGTACGGTACTTTTGACCGAATTTAAGTGTGTTTAGTGTCGAAGATGCAAGACCAACTAGGTAATAACGGATGATGTCTCAACACAACTTGCGTGTGTCCTAATTTAAGCTGCAAATGATTGAACTCTGGGTTAAACTTCTTGAAACACAATTCACGACCGAGAAAATTAGTAAAAAGATTGACTGAATTGGATAATATGCGTGTGCGGAAATTGATGGAAAAGTGAAGAGATGGGCGACCGAACACCCTCTCAATTTTATCGAGACCTAAAGAAATTAAATTTTCCGTCAATTCCAGACGAGGTGATTCTTGATACCTAGCGGTCCAGATTAACTGTCATTTAACAAAAAGTTTAAGCGGCTACGACAGAAACTTAGGCACAAGCATTAACAGAAATGGCAGATTGCATTCAGGAGATCAAATCGGGAGTCGAACGAATCGCGCCAGTGTAAGAAGATTCAGAACTAAGTGTTTTACGTGATGAAATTAAGCAATTAATACTACAAATCAGTGCAGTGTCAAGTGACCGGCAGTGCTACGCCAGATCCGTCCCGTTCCTCGCACGACGACGGGTTTCTTGGTACCATTGCTGATTTAGAAAGAAAGCGATCAAGTGTCGTCCTGAGTGTCCTCACTAGAAATCGGAACATAACTTGTGTCGATAGATTTTTGCGTTGTCCAGAAGCTATTTAAATTTTTGATATCGAAGCCTATACGGTTGCAGCGGCACTACTTTCCACATTGATTTCCTGTTTCTGCGTCATATTAAGAATTACGCCAGATCAAGACCTGAAATTTGAATCAATTTATTTAAAGAACTTTGCAGGTTATTAGGAACAAAACAATTTCGAATGACTGCATATCATCCTGCTTCGAATGGTATGGTTAAAAGATTTTATAGTCAGTTAAAATCCGCGATTAAATGTCATAATTTAGAGAATTTGATTTAGATTTTGCCTACAGTTTTATTAATAATTAGAACGATAATAAAAAAGGGTTTGAATGAAACTTCCGCAGAAATGGTTTATGGTACCAGTATTAATTTACCTGCAAAATTTTTTATATCAAATGATTCAGAGTTAACATCGCATTTATAAAACTCAATGCTTAGAAGAATCATACAAACAATTCGAAAAACATCTCATTCGCCTCCCATCATAATTAAATTTGTACTTGAACCTAAATAGGGTTTTTGGATTCTTTTTGTAAAGACAGTGCAATTTGGGCATTCGATACCTTGATAACTTGAGACCATTACTTAAACTTATAAGGGTCCTCGCCGATGGTTGTCCACTGTCAAACATCATAGATGTCATCGATATGTTGGGCAGTACTTGTTCACTGCCAAACATGACTGACATCATGAATATGTTTGGTAGACTTTGTCATGGTGGCGGGGATTTTCACAATAGGAGAACAAAAATTGTGGATGTATGAAATAAAGAATAAATTTAGAGATGAGAGTTTAAATATATTTAAAATCTTTATTAAATAATAATTAGCAATATTGCAATAATATGGTTAAGCAATATTAAAGGAATATTAGTTAACAATATTGCAGTTATGTTACAACAATATTTCAAACCAATTTATCCACAAAGTGATATTTAAATATTCCTAGAACATATTGTGCTATTTGTGTTATTTGAATAATGTGTAATATTTTCAGAGCCACCAAAGACGTCTCCTCAACAAGATGCATCAGTTACAGGCATTCCTTCCCCACCCTCAGCTCAACAGCCGCCAACGTATTTACAGGTAAATTTACCAATATTATCCAATATTAATATCCTTTCAGCTGTTAACAACGGATTAAAACTTATTTAAGTAAAAAATTTAAAGTATGTTTTTGAGAGGAACATAAACTCTATACCGCGTAACCACACATATATGAGGAGTTGTATCGAAGAACTCGCTCGACGCTCGAACAAAAGGGATAATACCAGCCAGGTAGCAGTGAACGACCCACAGGCCCTCACTGCTGCCTGACTGGTATTATCCCTTTTGTTCGAGCGTCGAGCGAGTTCTTCGATACAACTCCTCATATGGCAGTGCTATAATACATTTTAAGCATGATTTAATCGCATTTATTGGAATATCAAAGGCATATGTTTCGCCATTCAAAATAACAAACGTGTGATAAATATTCAAAATCTGTCCGCAAAAGACGACATGCGGAAAAATGTTCTGATCGTTTCCCTTTCACCACTCTTCAAAATTTTTTATCCTATAAGAAAAAATCCAAATCTAAATTAGGCAGTCTGCTTTCATATGTTTCCTTTGGCGATAAACAATCAGTCATCCTTTCAAAATCAGATTCCAACTGAAAAAAAGTAAAGGAGAATATTTATATTTATTAAAATTTATTAATGTTTCTTTGCCTCATACTAAACTTAAAAAAACAATGTTACTGACTAATGTGATTCCTGATGGACGAGTCAGGCATTGGAAATGTTTAAAATACCCTTCTAAAGAAGCAGTTTAATTTAATGTCAGATTTCAATATTTTTGATTTAGCATGGAGTGTCTTTTCCCATTTAAGAAAAATATCAGTTAAACGATATTTACTACGATTAGAGTCAGTTAAACAAGCCGTCTCGTCGTCCACTTATTCTAAAAAATGTTTAAAAAAGAAATTTAAAATATCCAGAAATAAAAGTATTATAATAAAGTACAAAGTGACCACATAAAACTTTATATACCTGCTTTACTTTTATCTGCATCTAAGGTTAACTCTTCCAATACGGTCCTGCACTAAGTCAGATAAGTCGACTCTTTGTCCACCCGAATATTTTTAGGACTATTGCAGTGTCTACAATGTAAACTTAGAAGATTGAAAACTGGAAGCAACCTAATCAAAACTATTCTTGATTGGAAGGGTCTGAAAGTTTGTCTGACAATGACAAAATTATTGTATTTTTGATTTGGTTTAGTTTTAAGAGATAATTTACTGATTTAATAGTGTCAGATAAAGTCTGATCGTTAATAGTTCCTGACAAGGAAGATAAGAAATCAGGGTTTTTTACAGGTGGTGGAGCAGTACTTTTTCATGTAGAGTAGAGTGTCCAGTTGCTGGAGGGGTAAGGTCTGAGTTCGAGCTTTGTAATGGGAATTTATCAAAAGATGAATCAGGTCTAGATTCAACCACATTGTAGAGATCAGAGTTCACTGCACAGAAAAGAAAATTAGTTTCCTCCCAGTTACAATTTGTAGTATAACGGTGTTTAAGGATACCAAATTCCAACTTAATAACTGGACAGATGGATGTCTATGCAGGATGGTCGCTCTTACAATTTTCACAAAAAGAATTTTGTTGACCCTTGGAGCTGTAAATGGTTGCATGTCTACTCTCACTTTATTCGCATTAAGGATATGTAGACCTGCATTGATCTAAAATATGGTAGAAGCTTTAACATCGAAAACATCTGCGGCGTCGTGAAGTAGATGGAGTTTAGAAACTTTATAATCATCCAAACGAATATTGCGAAGCACTGTAGGACTATTGATAGTGAATTCGATTTTATCGTGAATCAGAGACAAAGACGATCGAGATGAAATTATACAGTTAAAACAGATACACAGATGAGTTAAGATTTATTTTGAGATTATGCTCCCACGTGTTGGCGATGTGAGGTTAGGTTAATTCAATTCGGTTTTTATAACCTGATTATTTAAAATCAACGTTACAACACTTGCATTAAATTCTATTTTAAATTGTAATGTCGTATAATTGAAAGTACAATTAAATTGTGTTTTACAGATAAGAGGTGTAGAGGTGGGTATAGTGGTGTTAGTACTGATTGTGTGGGCAGGGGCAATAGCCTTGTTCTTTAACCGCTGGGGTAAAATACGTATGTTACTACCATATCAACCAGACTACAAGGAGCAGCTTAAAGTTCCTGGAACAGGAGTGTGCTCTTCTGGGAATGCTGCATATAATCAACACTCGTCTCAACATGCCTGTTCCCAGGTAAAATTTATATGCATCAATCATAACATACATATATATAATATGTATTCAAAAAATTGATGTGAATACAAATAGTTTATGCACATGCGTAGGTTAGTTGCCACTTCTGGTTGAAAGAGTATATGCCACTTTAAATTCATCGTTAATGGTTGCTTTATAGAATGTTAAAAAATTATAGACTAATGCCTTTTGCATTTTGTTGATTTATAAAATATTGCGTTAGATGAAATAATTCTGAAATTAGAAAACAATTTAGAATTATTTTCCTAGTTCTTCAGTAAAATAATAATGTTAAAATAGAAGAAGAAACTAAAATGGTGATATGGAAATATAAAGTGGTTTCGTTATGTGAACGATATGACATGTTAATTAGAGTATGTGTGCAACAACATTAATAAGTGACTCTTCTAGTTTCAGCAAAATGCAATTGTAGAACAGTTGTTAAATTAACCTTGAATCTCAATTTAGAATAATTTTCAAAGGTTAACGTTTACTTCATATTGCATATGGTTGGTAACTGACTTGTAGAAAAGAGTTATCCCGATATGTGGCCAAATTTTAATCACTTTTTGGCTTCCCGAACCCCATTTTGGAGATTTGTCTGCCCTCCTCATCCAACTGTTTGCATGGGCTTTTTTTAAAAAATACAAGTTCAGGTACAAAAAATGTAAAGACCAAACAGAAGTAAGGCTGTTTCAGTATCTTTAAAAATATTGAAAGCTTGAAAAATTTTTTTTCAAATAATACCCGTTTTTTAATTGTCTACAAAATTCGTTTAAGTTGTATGTATGTTCCCAAGAACATTTTCTCTATACCCCACCTGTACCTGTCCGCCAAAACCCTCCAGAATATTCCACTTGGTATACGGAATTGCCCCTATAATTATTCTAAATTTTATAATAAATTAGGTATATTCAACTACACTGAAAAATAAGGGAGATGTAGCATATTTTCTAGTGATGATGCGGGTTTTTGACCTGAGTTCTGTTACAGACTTTTTTAGGGCGTGTAGAGTTTCCTAGACTAGATAGTATGAAACAGAATTCAGAGCTGAGTTGCACAACATCATTTGAAAATGGTGATCTTCTTTTCAGTGTCGTAATAAATAAAAATTCATTTATGCTATTGGATAAATTTTATGAGGTATTGTAAATTTCCAGTGAAGCTTTATGATTACAAAACGGTCATCGGGATATAGGGTTATTTCCTAACGGACAAACAACCAAACTATCATTTAACAGGAAAGCATTTATAGAAAGATTGAACTTTAACAGAACAGTCACGTAACATACTTGATACTCAACTGAATTATCATATTTACAATCTAATATGTAAAAGAATTTTACCGGCCTGACATGCAACATAATTGTCATACAACTGACAAGTAACACTACCCAAGTGCCACGTCGGGATTGACTTCTCCCAATAGAAATTTTATAGATAATTGACAAATATTTGACAGATTTAATTAAATTAGAAAATTATAGCAGGAAGAAACTAAGAAAATTTTTGTAGATAAATATTTAACAAGTTTTCTCGCTCTCTGCCGAACCCAGAAATAACCAACGAGTAGGTGGCGAGAAATTATTTCCTTTTAATTTTTTTACCTGTTTTTACATTTTTTTAAGGATTCTTTGCAGGTATTCTATTCAAGAACCTTTATAGGATCCTTAATAAAATTAAAACTGGTGAATTGTGCAATCGTGAGGAGAACTTTCATACTTTGGATCAAAGAAATGTGTAAAACTTTTTACACCAGGCACATCTGAAGAAGGCAATTTTTCGCAAAACTCGCATGTACCATCACAATTTATGAAACAGAAACTAACTGGTGTTTCACATTTGGAAGGTTTCTCAGAAGTGTAACCACTCTTATACCAGGAATATTTGAAAAGGTTTATGAACCTAGGAGCTGACAACTGATTATGAGTTAGTGACTGTATTTTTAAGATATTATTTCTTGCATGCAAATTGACATCATAATCATACAGAATAACAGAATCAGAAAAATGTTTCACAAAGTTCTTCCATGGTCTAAACCCGTGAACATCTAAAGGCTATGATACATCATACTATGATGTATATCATCATACTATGATGTATACCAGGATGATACATCTATGATACATCATACCTGTTGTACCTGCAGGTATCGTAAAAATTTTCACAACTTTTTCATTGGTATCAATATTTTCTAAGTTTTTTTTTCGTTTGCCCTGTCCAGGAATCTAAACAAAGTATCGATTGTTCATCTACAACAGGTAAATATATGTTTTTGTACCATTCAGCTGCTAGAGCGGATGATAAATTCCCAGATGCTGAACACAACACAACTATATTGTCTGTTTTGTACAAATTATTTTTCACAATTGGTCCAAATTTTCCTCCTTTCTCTTGCAAGACAATAAGTAGTGGAGATTCCAGCAGTCCACTAGCAGTTACAATCGGCTGAATTGTGTAGCTATGTGTCAGTGAATTCAATGATTGAGCTTTGCACTCAACTTTTGTTTCTCCTTTAAAAGTCAATGTTCTTCCGGCATGCAATTCTAAATTGAAACCTGATTGGTCTAAATTGTAAACATTATCAGGTCAAATTAAAAAAAATTTGTTCCCGAATTTTGCACACAAACTCATCTGCTTCGTGCTTTAAGTAATCTTTATTTGATATTTGAGTTTAGGTGACGAATTTGTTAATTTTTCTCGATACAATTTTGTGTTGTTGCTTAAAATTGTGAACCCATTTTGAAGAAGCTTGGAATAATTTCGGAGACAAATTAACTTTATCCCTCGCGTTTACAGCCCATCGTTTTATGCTCATATCATGAAATGGGTAATCTTTTATCATGAGCATCTTGATATTTATTTAATGCATCCTTACATATTTCCGACAATTTTTCAAATCTGTTTCCACCTTCTAACACTTGAGCTTCCCATCTATGAAGCATTTTTCGATCTTGCAGATTTTTAAATTGGTTTTGAACTTTTGCAAATTTCAGATTACCGTTTTTACCAGACTTCCAGTAAAAGACGGCTGTTTTCTTATATACTAGATCTACACGGAAAAAAATAATTCGGAAATAGTTCCTGAATTCGTTCCGAAATTGAGGATATGAGCAAAAATCGGTAATTATTATAGAGCTGTTATTTGGAAGAAATGTCGAACTTTCAAAATAGATATTCAGGAATTATATGGTAAGAACTCGGTATTTATGTAATAGTTTTTACGAAATGTAGCGGCTGAGTATTTCAGATAGTCTGGACGGTAGAACTTCCGATGAGTTCGGGAAAAATTCAGAGGGTCGCTTCATATATGAAGAAGCTCTTATAAGGGCTACAGAATAGTTCCGGAACAATTCCGTAGCAAAGAAAATAAAAAAAAGAAGTTGTGTATACGCGTATATACTTGATCGACATTCGTCAAGCAAGGCGAACTGTGATTGGTTGAGGAGGATACACACACATACATACATACATAATACACTTATAGCTACCTACATATATTCTAACGCACACATAATTTATACACAAATAAACGCAAATACACGACGCATTGAATCGCACGCTGGTTGTAGGGACCTGGGAAGTCTTATATACTAGATTTTACTTTTATTCAGCGCTTGTGAGAAACAGGGTCGGCACATCTTTTCTTTCGATGAAGTTCGGGAATTATTATGAAATTTAAACTGGAGTTCTCCTTGATTAGACGCTTGTAAATACTATTTTAGAAGAAATATAATTTCTACGACAAAATTTCGATAATATTATAGACCAGTCCTGTATTTCTCCAGGAATTTATTTACAATGCTGATTTTGAAAGTCTCACAAGAACCGTTTCGTAATTAGTTCGGAACGATTCTGAAATACTTACATTGAATTTCTAAAAATTTCTCGAACTTTGCACAAATCCTCAATTATGGAACAAATTCAGGAATTCTTACAGAATTTATTTTTTCCGTGTATTGTACATTTAGACTTATTATTGTTATCGTTAATAATAACTTCTGGCTCATATTCAAAATCTTTATCGACGGTAGAATGCTCTAGACTGCCGAAATAAAAAAACACGTATCAAATATTTGTCAATTATCTATAAAATTTCTATTGGGAGAAGTCAATCCCGACGTGGCACTTGGGTAGTGTTACTTTGAGCTGACATGTAACCGAATTATATTCTAATAAAATTAACACACATAAAAATGTATATTATAAAGAAATGACATGCAACAGATTTGTTATTCAACAAATCTCACATACAACAAAATTTATATTTTACCATCCGGACATTAAACAGAATTGTCAATTAAAATATCTAACGTACAGTAGAATTGTCATTCTATACGACATTTTAACGACTTAATATGCAACAGAATTGTTAGTTAACAAAACTGACAATCGAATGAATTTATACTTCACTGACATGACCTCCAACAAAATTGTCAGTCAACAAAATTCATACTTTACTGACTTAACATGCAGTAAAATTGTAATTTAACAAAAAACTGACATTTTACAAAACTTGTGTAAAAGCGAATTTTATAATTAACTAATAATAAATTATTATTGCTTCCTCATAAAGGAAGCTTTGTATTAGCAAAATTTTGAATTGTCATTTTTTGACATATTTATAAATTTTTTTTTATTATGCCTAATACTTTAGTACTTTATATATGCACAGGAACTCCCCGTATAAATGTTCTAAATAAATAAAAAAAAATTTCGACGTATTTTGAACTCCGAAGTCCAAAAAACGGATTTTAAAAATTTGTCCCGATGTGTGTGTGTGTGTGTGTACTAACATTACATTTGCCTCAATATCTCAGAACGAGAAAGAGCTTAAGGCTTCAATTTTTTTTTAATTTGTAGGTCTCCCCGGGGGACATAAAATGAGAGTATTTTCAGCCGGATTCATAAAGTTTAACTATATTTTTTTTGCATTTTTCTTTTTGTAAAAAAACGTTTTTTGGCCATAACTTAAAAAAAATGTTAGGACACCTATAAAT